CTCTCTCTCTCTCTCTCTCTCTCTCTCTCTCTCTCTCTCTCTCTCTTTCTCTGTCTGTTCACATTTACCTGTCACCAAGGATTACCTATGTTGGGCATTTTATTTTAGTAGATTTGTGGACCTGCTAATATTTATCCTGCAGAATAGATGATTAAAGAGAGGAGCAAATTGCTTCAAAGAAGGCAGATGGTAGAAAGCTGGCAAGGTAAATTTGACTGCAGTTAACCTTGATGGAGGCTGGTGGATTTTAATATTAATATGGAAGTTTCCCTGCTATAGTCAAAGGGCATTATAGCTGTCTTGAAGGAAGTTACAGAAATCATCCTCTTTCCTTGTTTATACACTCCACCCCTCCCTGCCCAGACCAATAGATCTTTTATCCTTTTTCCTCCCACTCATCTGTAGCCAAATGGGCTTTAGCGCCCTAGAACAGAGCTCAGTTCAAGAGCCTTTGCCTTTTAAAAGCTCAACATATCATCATGCTTGGATTTGACATCAGAAGACATGAGATCAAATCCTACCACTGCCACTTAAGATCTGTGTGTGTTTGAGGCAAGAAACTTCAAATTTCTTTGTCTCTGATTTCTCATCTGTAAAATGAGAGGGTTGGACAAGATGACTTCTAAGTGTTCTTCCAGTTCTAAATATAGGATCCTAAGATTATGATCTCAAGCTGAGAATAAGTGGAGGAGTGAATATGCAGAAAGATTCTTAGCCCCATTTTCCAAATTAAGAAACTGAGTCCCAGAATGGGCAAGTAACTTGCCCAACATCATACAGCAAAAGGATTGGGAAGGTATTAAGAAGTCTTCATCTGAAAGGATGACAATTACATGAGGGACATCAGACTTATCCTGCTGGGGCTAGGAGGGCAAAACTAAGAGTGTGGCTATCAGCTGCAGAGAAGTAGATTTCAGCTTATTATAAGAGGGAAGGGAAGGCATTTATTTATTAAGTACCTACTGTGTGTCAGGCACTGTCCTAAGCGCTTTACAGATATTAACTTACTTGATTCTCACAGCAACCCTGTGAGGTAGGTACTATTATTAGCATCCCAATTTAACAGTTGAGGAAACTGAGGCAGGTAAGATGTTAAGTAGCTTGTCCAGGGTCACATAACTAGTAAGCTTCTGATTTGGGACTTGAATGCAGGCTTTCCTGATTCTAGACTCAGTGCTCTATCTGCTGCACCTGCATTATAACAAACAATTTCTTAACAATCAGAGCTTTCCAAAACTATAATGGGATGACTTGAGAAGTAGTGAGCTCCTCATCTCTTGAAGTCTTTAAGCTGAGGCTACATACTCCCTTGGAAAATAGCGATTTCACCATCTTGGGAACTCTTTGAGCAGAGGCCATTTGCTGGGCATGCTTGAGAATGGTTTTCAGTCATGGCTAGATGCCCTCTCAGTCCCTTCTAGCTCTGAGATCCCAGATTCCATAGGTGTGTGTGGCATGAGAAAACCCATGAAAGATGGAAACCCCAAGGGAAAGGCAATGAAGACTGGAACTGTGGAAGGATTGAGAACTACTCAAGCTTGGTCTAAGGCACAGTTCTTAAGCTGGAGTCCATGAACTTGCTTTTTAAACATTTTAATAACTCAACATAAATAATTTCCCTTGTGATTCTATGTATTTTTTATGCATTTAAACACATTATTTTGAGAAGGGGTCCATAGGCTTCATCAGATTACCCAAGGGGTCTATGACACAAAATGGTTAAAAACCCTTGGTTTAGGGACTTCTATTCTGATATTCTAGGCAGCCAAATGGCACAGTGGGTATGGTACTGGTTTGGAGTCAGGAAGGCCTGAGTTCAAATCTGGCCTCAGATACTTAATAACCATGTGACCCTGGACAAGTCATTTAATCCCATTTGCCTCGGTTTCCTCATCTGTAAAATGAGCCGTAGGAAGAAATGCAAACCATTCCAGTATCTTTCCTAAGGAAACCTCAAATGGGGTCATGGAGAGTCAGACGTGACTGAAACGACTGAGCAACAACATTCTGATATTCAGATGATGGATTTGATTACAAAGTAGTGTATAAATTCCTAGCTCTTGGGAGCTGTGTCAAGGAGATGATTAACAAATTTGTCAGCAACCTGGAAGCTTCACAGCTTCTGATTGTTTGTAGCTCTCAGGCAGATCGGTACATTAGCTTTCTTCCCATAATTTCCGAAACTGGCCACTCAGTTGGGCCAGGGTATAGGCTCTACTCTTTGGGAGTTTCCCCAACTCAGCAGGTCAAGAAAAATATCCTAATTACCCCTATTATATTGGTAAACAATCTTGTTTGCATCCTCGCTACTACGCCTGAGGGGGTGCTGCAGCCTCTTCTGACATTGTAAGATTCCAGCATGATGTAATCTCTGTAGCTGGTAACTCTAACTTCACTGCATTGCTGCTCCTCTGGACGGGGCGGTTTTTGTACGGAGGGGATGGAGGGCAGCCACCGGAGGGAATAGACTTCCAGATCATTTTGCTAGATTCTCGTCCGAGAGTGAGATTCTGAGGGCGTGACTATCTCCATGCGTGAGAATCCACTCCTAAGGAAGAGGCAGTATTCTCATGCAACCAAAATCATTAAATGCAAGGTTCTGTAATTGGCAAGGTGCTAACGAAGGTCAGGATTCATTTCTTATTTTAGGTAGTACAGTGGATAGAGCACTGGAAGACCTGAGTTCAAAATCTGCTTCAGATACCTATTAGCTATGTGACCCTGGGCAAGTCACTTAACCTCTGTCTGCCTTAATTTCCTCATCTGGCAACTGGGGATACGAATAGCACCTACTTTTCACTGTTGTTATGGGACAAAATGAGACAATATTTGTAAAGTGCTTTGAAAATCTTAAAGTACTATACAAACATACATTGTGTAGTCATTTTTCAGTCATGTCTGACTCTTTGTGACCCCATTTGAGGTTTTCTTGGCAGAGATACTGCAGTAGTTTGCTATTTCCTTCTCCAGTTCATTTTACAGATGAGGAAACTGAGGCAAACAGGGTGAAGTGACTTGCCCAAGGTCACACAGCGAGTAAGTGTCTGAGGCCAGATTTAAACTCAGGAAGATGTTCCTGACTCCAAGTTGGGTACTCTATGCAGTATGGTGCCACCTAACTGCCCTCAATGCTGTATTATTATTGCTATTATTGAGATGATGGTGATAATGATGAATGAAGGTCCCTTTTGGTGGAAATGGAGCTTAGAGCATGGGGCTGGAGAAGACCTGGTGATTTCTTTTGTCTTCTCTATCAAGATCTTGGATTCTGGGACCTGTACTCCCAAAGCTCCCTGCACAACTCCTGAGGAATGACCCAGTGGCCCACGCTGGCTCTCACGTCTTTACCTTGGGGGCACCAGACTCCCAGCAAGCCGGGGTGATGCAGTTCCTCAACAGAGAAGCCAAGGTCAGCTCTTAGCCCCCTCCTTCACCTGTGCCCATGAACACCAATGCACTCCGAAACCCTCCCCACCCAATTCTGCAAGAGTTCACTCCTTATTCATTTCTGTAAACATCAACATTGCAGAATTTATTTTGATGCCCCACTACGATCCATCCTCGAGCTGACAATAATAACGTCTAATTTATGTCTGTCGTATTACCTTCCCATCTCTCTGCGTACATTATTACATAAATTAACTTAATGTGTCTGACGCTCGTCTGATAATTTAAGCATTTGTTCTCCGGTCTCCTGCTCCGGCTACGCTGGTTTCCAAGTTACTGAACATGAAGTCACTTTGATATTGATCTGAAGAAACATCCGTTTCAGGAGGTTGTACGATCATTCTAGAATGTTCTGCAGAGGGGCCTCAGCGAGGTTCTGCTCCTCTGGGCGAGTGATTGTGGGTCAGTGTGTCTGGGGCAGATTTAGAGGAGACAGGGATTTGGGAGCCTTCACATTACATATGAGGATTGGTTAAGGTACTGGCCCCATTGGCTAGAAAGGACATGAAAGGCCACTGAGGCAATACACACCCACTCCCCCATCTGCATTGTGCAGATGAGAAAAACAAGTTAACAGAGGAGAAGTGATTTGTCTAAACAGCTAGTTTTGAACCCAGGCACTTCTGTTTTCAAGCCTACTGCTCCTTCTACTACATCATGACGCTGGCACTAATCCTCTGAATATGGCTGCTCAGAGGACCAGGGAACATCATTTGAAGGTGGCTGGGTCTCTTACATTAAAGTTTCAGGGCCTCTGCTCACACTGTTTGCTTCCTTATTCCTAAAATGCCTCCTTGCCCCAACTCTGTCTTTCTACAATTTTCTCTGTCCTTCAAGGCTCCGTTCAAGTACCTCCTCCAGGAAGCCTCCTGATTGTCCAAAGTCAAAAATTGTCTTTTCTTCTTCTATCATTGCATGATACTATGTTTGTAACTCCATTATGTGTTTATCATGCATACTCTTTTAGTATCATAGACATCTCTATTGCTGTTCAGTCGTTTCAGTCATGTCTGTCTCTTCATGACCTCATTTGGGATTTTCTTGGCAAAGATACTGGAGTAGTTTGCCATTTCCTTCTCCAGCTCATTTTACATATGAGGAAACTGAGGCAAACAGTGACTTGCCCAGGGTCACACAGCTAGGAAGCACCTGAGGCCAGATTTGAACTCAGGTCTTCCTGACTCCAGGCCCACCTAGATGTCTTAAGATATCTCTACATTTGTCTTAATTTTCCCTTATTAGATTGTAAGTTCTATGAGGGCAGGATTATATCTTATTCCTGTATCTCCCAGCCCAGGGATCTTCATCGAGTACAAGTGCTCAGGAAATGCTTCTTGATGAATTTACAGTGATATAACAGGAGGATTTCACTGTCCTCTCCAGGGGCAATCGTCAACCAATTCCAATGGCCTCTGACTCCCAACGTCAGATTCTTCCTCAACTAACTCATTATCAGGCTGCACTCTCTGCCAATCTCCCCTTGTCTGTCCCTTTGTGCTGACCATCACTGCCCAGCGCAATCCTGGGATGGTATTAATGTATTTAGTGCAAAGGTCCAAGGGTTTCACAGAGCCTGAGACTCCCAGGGCTGGAAGGGACCTTGGGGACCATTCCAACCCATTTGTGAAGGCTCTACAGTGCAGTGCCCAAAACCACTGGGGATGGGGTCACAGGAGCTGGGTTCAAATCCCACACCTTCCCTTTGTGGGTGACCTTGGGCAATCACATCATTTAATTTCTCCAGGCCTCAGTTTTCACATCTGTAAAAAGCTGAGATTAGACAAGGCGGCTTATCAGGTCCCTTTCAGATATAAACCTGTGCTCTTAGAAATATTTCCAGGCTTTTGTTGCTCAATCCGTAAAATGTGGGGTTTAAACCAGGTGGTCTCTAAGGTTTCTTCCAGCACTAACCCTGTGATTCTTTGTGTTTCTTCTAGTGCCAGGTTCTTTACCTGTGAGTCTCAGGGTCTCATCTGTAAAGTTTGGGGGGTGGGGTTTGGATGTGCTGATTTCCAACATCCTTTTTAGCTCTATGTCTATGATCCAGACAAGCGCTCTTCCAGATTCTGCCCGAAGACCTCCAGTGAAAGGGATCCTGTCACATTTCCACTTTTGGACAGTTCCATTTTTGAGGAAGTTTGGCCCGACATAGAGCCCGAGTCTGCTTCTGCATCATCTACCTGTTGCTCCAGAATAGGGCAAACCCCCCTTCCACATGCTTACAGACAGCTATTGTCTTCTTCTTCCCCCTCCCAGTTCTCTCTTTTCCAGGCTAGACGTTATCAGTTCCTCAGTTATCCCCAGCACTCTTCATGTGGCCTGTTGTCCAGTCCTCTCCCTGTTCTGGCCTCTCTCTCTCTTTCTGGAACAAGGACCCCTGATAAGGGAAGGCTCAGAGGCTTGGTTTGTCTGACTTTTCCAAATGGAACCTGTGCTTCTGGCTGGGGCCCTGTCATAACACATCTGCTCTGAGTCTGTGAGAGGCATGAGTTGTTGGTACCCAAGGGAATTTTAATCAAGATGGTTTCCGTGTTAAACGTTGGCAGCTCTTTGACGAGGTGACTTCCTGGAGCATCGGGTTGGATGCCTGCTCTTTGCACTTCATTGTCAAGAGCTGGGAAAGTTTGGGAAGTTGTTGAGGTGGAAAGATTGAAGACACAGGAGTGAAGGATAGGGGGAGGCAAAAGGAAGAGATTGCTGCAAATATGGGAATTGAATTTTGGGGCCTTTCTCTGCTCAAGTGGCAGCTTGAAGTGGGAAGAACATGGGACCAGGAGGCAGAAAGCCTGGACGTGAGAGTTATGGTCCTTCCCCTGACTCTCTGGGTGACCTTTGGGCTCAGAAACCCAAAGAAGTGGGGAACCGAATGACATTTCAGACAGGCAGATTTCAGCCTGATTTACGGACAAATGGGTGCTATCCACAGGTGGATTGGGTTGCCTTGGAGGCTGCAAGTCCTCATTTCCGGAAGTCCTCAGATGGATGTTGGGCGAACTCACAGTGGATGTCGTAGATAGAATTCATGTTCAGGTCTGGGCTGGCTGACTGATCTTCGAAATGCCTTTGAGAAATGTTTAAGCACCAGCTTTCTGAAAAAACAAAAGTGCACAATACATTTTTAAGTTTAATTTGCAGTATTAACATTTTCTCCATTGCTTTCTTAAGTCTAGACAATTAAAAAAAACCCAATCAATCAAGTCCCGATTTGTAGCATTTGCCAATTTTTAAGGTGCAAACATTCACACTGAACATTTAACAGGTCAGCTCCCAAGAGCATAGTATGACTCAGCTCCATTCCACCACTGCCTCTGGGTCTTAGAGTAGTCTTTGTTTCTCTAACTCTGTCAAAGGCACCTTTTAGCCTCCTACAATCACTATCTCAGACTCATCTTTTATTCCTCAGCCTCCCTCCCCAATATAGGAAGTCTTGTCAAGCCTGTCTCCATGCTCACTCCAATCTCTAGTGTCCTCTCTTCACTTACATGGCCACCACCCAGGTTCAAAGTCTCATCCCTTCTCAAGACTGGACCATCGAAATGGCCGTCTGGGTGGTCTCCCCACCTCAAGTCTCTCTTTGCTTCAATTTATCCTCCACACAGCTGCCAAAGGGATTTTTTTTTTAGGTGAGGCCATTGGGGTTAAGTGACTTGCCCAGGGTCACACAGCTAGTAACTGTCAAGTGTCTGAGGCTGGATTTGAACTCAGGTCCTCCTGACTCCAGGGGCGATGCTCTATCCAGCACCACCTAGCTGCCCCCAAAGGGATTTTCCTAAAGCATGTTTGACCAGGTCAGTCCCCTGCTCAACCAACTTCAGTGATTCTCTTATATCTCTAGAATGTAACACACAATCCTCTGTTGGACATTTTAAGCCCTTCTCAATCTGGCTCCAACCCATTTCAGCAGTATTTTTCTATTTTTTGAACTCTAGCCAACCTGATCTTCTTATTGTCATTACATAGGACTTTTTATCTCTTTCTTCTCTGCCTATGCTTTGTGCCTGGAATGCAAAGTTCAGTCCAAATGTCTCCTTCTATGTGTGTCCACCCTCTCCTCAAATCCCTTTGTATTTATTTTTCATATATACACCTTGAATATACAGGCACTCAGATGCTACAGTGCATAGAGCACTCAGTCTGGAATCAGGAAGACTCATTTTCCTGAGTTCAAATCTGGCCTCAGACACTTACTAGCTGTGTGACCCTGGGCAAGTCACTTAACCCTGTTTGCCTCAGTTTGCTCATTTGTAAAATGAGCCGGAAAAGGAAAGGGCAAACCACTACAGTGGGATGAGCCAAGAAAACCCCAAATGGGGTCACAGAGAGTCAAACATGATTGAAACAACAGAACAAATCTTGTGTATATTTAAATATGCACACATTTTCTCTCCCCAGTAGATTGCCAGCTTCTCGCAAAAAGGGACTGTTTAATTTTTCTCTTTGGGTTCTGAAAGGTTAGCCCAGAGATCTTGGCACACAGTAGGAGTTTAATAAAAGTTTATTGCTTGATGGATTGATTTACTTCCTCAATCAACGTTGTCATTGATAAATTTTAAAGGATAACACTTGCATTCCTCCCTCCTAGGGATGCTATATAAGGAAGATACGTGGGCAATCTTTACTCTTAGGCCAAGAAGAATGAGGGGCTTCTAGAGTCATCCCAGGCATGAATGTAAAGCTTCATGGCCTCGATGGTCAATGGGTAGCTTTAGGGAGTTTGTCTCCTAGACATAATGAATATACACAGTGCCCCAAAAATCTTAATTCAGTTTTAAGCCTTAATAGCACTCTATATGATAATAACAACAATAATAATAATAGCTAATATTTGTATAGTGCTTTAGAATTTGCAAAACACTTTCCATGTGATCCTCACAATGCCCCTATGAGGTAGGGTGCTATTATGATTCCCATTTTTCAGATGAAAAGACTGAGGTTCTAAGAGGTCGAGCGATCTGCGCAGAGTCATACAGTAAG